GTCAGCTTGACTCGTTGATGCTTTGTGTGATTGCCTTTGCTCAGAATCAGACTGTGAGTTTGAAGATGGGGAGTTCCTAGAGCCAGAGATGTTGGTGCCCACCCATTTCGGTCCCTCAGATGCTCTCAGCCAGTCACCATATTGCCCTTCCCTCAGTGAGTTGTTTTTGATATCCAGAAGCCTCTTAGAGCACGTTTTATCCAAATGCCCAATTTTGCCACAGTAGTGACACAGATTAATCAATTTTTCGTACTTAAAAATCACACATGCTACCTGATCCCCCAATCTGATTTGAGTAAACCTGGGCAATGGTTCATCGAGAATAAGAGTAACAAGTAACCGAAGCAGCTTGCCACCATGGTTGCCAGTGTTCACAATAACCACGTTTTTAACTTCCTTAAAAGTTTTTCCTATCTTCAGCCCAACTTCTGCACTCGTCCAGTTAAGAGGGAGGTTATTTACCTGGACCCAGAGGCTGATTTCGCTGAAACTCGGGTGATTACTGGAAAGGTTATGCGTCCAAACCTTGAGAATCAAGTATTGATTCTCGAAACTCCAGTTTGAACCACTAGCTACCCGAGCTTTATCTTCCTTGCTATCGAAGATGAATTTGAAGAAGTTTGGACTGAGCTCCTTAATCTCCATTGGCTGTGCGAGCTTCCAAATTTGATTCATGGCCCTTCTAATTCCGAACCATCCGGCTGACCTATTTCCGATAACCTTACCAAATAGGCTCCTCTGACACTCATCATCGCTAAGCCGAATGTCCCTTTGAGCTATATCAATCATGTTACCCTCTCTTTCAGAGAGCGAGAATTCATTTAGTTTGGATGCAAGATCGTCATCAGGATTCAGCGTTGGTAGATTAGCCATATCTAAACCCTAGTGTTGTTACCTAATTTTGGTCTCGCCTATTAAAGAATTACAAGTGGATATATATATTAAATAAGCAGGTTCTTGTATCTGATTTATGTTGACCGAGTTTCCAGAAGACGAGGTCCGCATCTAAAAAACCGCCAGCTCGACCCTGATATCACAAAGAAGTCGCTTATATATAGACACATCAATTGCTGACAAGACAAATACCAGTCGGAGTACCAGTCAACTTGTCAGTCAACCCAATTATTTATTATTGAACCCTGCGCAGTCATATTTGTTATTGGGCCTTGCGTGGTCATGTTTTATTGTAAAAGCCCATTAGATATACGGGCCTTTATTGTAAAAGCCCATTAGATATACGGGCCGATATTAGCCCAAATATAAATATGGGCTGAAGAGATAAGAATAGGGGATTTTTATTTCGCCTTTATCTGTAAGAGAAGGCGGCACCGCCAGGAAGAGAGGGGATAGGGATCATCATAATATCAGGAGGGGGATTCCTCTCTCTTGTTTTTGGCCCCCCTTCAGAAACATTCAACCATGATATTTTCGTGATCTTAATTTGACACTGCAAAATTCTTTGCTTTTCTTTCAGTCAATACTCACAAAGCAATACACAAACATCCTACCAAAAAATACTACAACTCCATATAAATCCTACACCCCCTATTCACGGAATAGGGGTGTGCGTTTTATGTTGTTATGATTTGAAGACTTGAGTGGAAAAAGTTCAGACCAAATCATTTAACAATAGTTTGGCGCTAGAAGGAGGGCCTCGTAATTTGTTCGAGGTAATTCTCTGACTTCAACACCACAGACGCGATTACCTTTCGTTTCAAAGCCAAAGAGGGCAATAAGGTGCCAGAAAAAGTCTATTACAACTGCTCAAAAAAAAAAAAATCCGGCCAGAAGATGAAAGTTGCAGAGGATCAACAGAACAAAGAAAATCAGAAACTCACGTAGAAGGGTGCCATCCAAGATCAGCATATTACAAAACGTGTACCTGAAGCAAATCTCTCAACTCATCGCCATCATCAACACCGGAAGAAGGAAAACAATCTCTGCAAGTTGCAGAAAGAGATGACCAGAATTCAATTGTGAAGATTGAGAAGATAAGTCAAACGGTGCCATAATCAATTTTTCTTGGACCATAATTAAGCCACGTCACTGTTCTTATCACATTAAAATATTGAATGACAAAAGCGAGAAGTGTAGCTGAGAGAAGAAAAAGTTAAGCGTGGCCACGTCGCTTCTATCGTCGCTTAACGTCGGGCCCCGCTTTAATCCGGAATCTCATAGATGACATCACACGCTAAGCACCATGACCGACATCGGACTTCGAAATCGCGATTAACCGACTTCGGTCATCCGACAAGCTGAATCTCGGTCACTACAGCGCAAGATCTATTATCGGAACTCACAATCAAACCGGCATCCGACATCGTCTCTTCGACGTTCAATATTGTTGACCTCTTCCTTTTCAAACCATCTATGAATTTGAACCCGACCTTTAAGACAATCGGGGCCCGACCGACCTCAACAGAACTAGCATTTTGATCTTATCGACGTCACCGCTGTAAACACCGGGTCCAATTTCAACAAATAATGTTGCCGGACCCGACATTCTCGATCT